TCTGACCATGTCCATCCCTTAATGGCCACCATGTACCCATACTCTGATGGCTACTTCCACCATGTCACAAAGCTCTAATCATTTCAAATTGGTTTCTTGAACATGACAATGAGTTCACTGTACTAAAATGGCCTCCACAGTCACCAGATCTCAACCCAATAGAGCATCTTTGGGATGTGGTGGAACGGGAGATTCGCATCATGGATGTGCAGCCGACAAATCTGCGGCAACTTTGTGATGCCATCATGTCAATATGGACCAAACTCCCTGAGGAATGCTTCCAGCACCTTGTTGAATCTATGCCACGAAGAATTGAGGCAGTTCTGAAGGGAAAAGGGGGTCCAACCCGTTACTAGCATGGGGTACCTAATAAAGTGGCCGGTGAGTGTATATATTCGTAACGATAGGTCAAAGGTCAGCCGATAAATTAGACGAGGAAATATTCTGATTATGGTAGTGTTTCCGGTGTTGATTGACAGCTGTCTTGTGTCGTACAGAACTCGATCTGTCTGGGAGCTGGAGATCGGCCTGTGAACGAGTATAGGTCAGTCATTTACTACCAGATCAAACAACCTCGCTGGATGGAGACTTTTAAGGTGAGAGAGACCGAGATATTGAGCATTAAACAGCATTCACACCCTATTTTCCCTCCATTTTATGACGTTTATGGTTGATGTTCAACTAGAAAAATGTCAGGCATGACTTGATTTCATTCACACATTCTATCCATCCAATCACTTTATCCATCCATAAATGAAGCCAGAGGATTTGGAGAGAAGGTTCATAAATAAGAGCAACATTTTTCACAATTAGACCAGTAAAATGCATAAAAAAATTAAATATGGGTTTATGTTGATGCTATTTTTTATTTCTAAAGTGTAAATAGTAATAATCCCCCTATAGTGTAATCCTGCAATACTGGGCTGCGTTTCCCAGAGGCATCGTAAGCCTAAGTAGATCGTAAAAACAATCGCACGAATCATCTGAGACTTACGGGCCGTTTCCCAAAACCGTTGTAGCTTTAGCAGGACTTGAAAATGCTCGTAAGTCCTGAGATCCATCGCTATCTGGAAACGCAGCCCTGGATGATGCCGTTTCAGGACCGCATTTAAATCATTCCGAAAAATGTTTAATACAAATACAGAATTAAATAATAAGTGCTATACAATAGTGGTAGTACATTCAAAAACTAGGGTCCTAGTCGGGTTAGTGTGTGTGTGTGTGTGTGTGATGGCTAGGTTTAGGGGTCGGGTTAGTGTGTGTGCATGTGTGTGATTGGTAGGTTTAGGGGTCGGGTTAGTGTGTGTGCATGTGTGTGATTGGTAGGTTTAGGGGTCGGGTTAGTGTGTGTGTGTGTGTGTGTGTGTGTGTGTGATTGGTAGGTTTAGGGGTCGGGTTAGTGTTTGTGTGTGTGTGTGATTGGTAGGTTTAGGGGTCGGGTTAGTGTTTGTGTGTGTGTGATTGGTAGGTTTAGGGGTCGGGTTAGTGTTTGTGTGTGTGTGTGTGTGTGTGATGGGTAGGTTTAGGGGTCGGGTTAGTGTTTGTGTGTGTGTGATTGGTAGGTTTAGGGGTCGGGTTAGTGTTTGTGTGTGTTCGATTGGTAGGTTTAGGGGTCGGGTTAGTGTGTGTGTGTGTGTGTGTGTGTGTGTGTGTGTGTGTGTGTGTGTGTGTGTGTGTGTGTGTGTGATTGGTAGGTTTAGGGGTCGGGTTAGTGTTTGTGTGTGTGTGATGGGTAGGTTTAGGGGTCGGGTTAGTGTGTGTTGTGTGTGTGTGTGTGTGTGATGGGTAGGTTTAGGGGTCGGGTTAGTGTGTGTGTGTGTACGTGTGTGATGGGTAGGTTTAGGGGTTGGATTAGTGTGTGTGTATGTGTGTGATGGGTAGGTTTAGGGGTCGGGTTAGTGTGTGTGTATGTGTGTGATGGGTAGGTTTAGGGGTCGGGTTAGTGTGTGTGTATGTGTGTGATGGGTAGGTTTAGGGGTCGGATTAGTGTGTGTGTATGTGTGTGATGGGTAGGTTTAGGGGTCGGGTTAGTGTGTGTGTATGTGTGTGATGGGTAGGTTTAGGGGTCGGATTAGTGTGTGTGTATGTGTGTGATGGGTAGGTTTAGGGGTCGGATTAGTGTGTGTGTATGTGTGTGATGGGTAGGTTTAGGGGTCGGATTAGTGTGTGTGTATGTGTGTGATGGGTAGGTTTAGGGGTCGGATTAGTGTGTGTATGTGTGTGATGGGTAGGTTTAGGGGTCGGATTAGTGTGTGTGTATGTGTGTGATGGGTAGGTTTAGGGGTCGGATTAGTGTGTGTGTATGTGTGTGATGGGTAGGTTTAGGGGTCGGGTTAGTGTGTGTGTATGTGTGTGATGGGTAGGTTTAGGGGTCGGGTTAGTGTGTGTGTATGTGTGTGATGGGTAGGTTTAGGGGTCGGGTTAGTGTGTGTGTGTGTGTGTGTGTGTGTGTGTGTGTGTGTGATGGGTAGGTTTAGGGGTCGGGTTAGTGTGTGTGTATGTGTGTGATGGGTAGGTTTAGGGGTCGGGTTAGTGTGTGTGTGTGTGTGTGTGTGTGTGTGTGTGATGGGTAGGTTTAGGGGTCGGGTTAGTGTGTATATGTGTGTGAAACTGCAGTCAAAGGTCAAAGGTCACCATCTTTCTATTCTCCTGCTTGGTGTCAGTCTGTGTGTAGTAATGCTTTCCTCCGGCCTGTAGGTGGCGATTCCTCTGGAGGAGATGCCCAGAATACACCTGCGCTTCATGTTTCGTCATCGATCCTCACAGGAGTGTAAGTTTCACACAGTAATGCTCTGTATGGAAGCTTGTTCTGTCATGGAATAAAAAAATAAAAAAACGTTTTTTTTTCTTGCTATTGCAAGTTTATAACTTTCAATTCTGACTATTTGACTCAGAATTCTGAGTTTATATCTCACAATTCTAAACAAAAACCTCAGAATGTGAGATAAAACGTCACATTTACCTTTTTAATTCCCTGGCAGAAACAAGCTTACATAGTTTTTTTTTTTTTTTTAAGTGAAGACTATTTAATAAGCCTTTTAATATCTTAATAAATATAAAATATTGTGATTATCAATTCATAATTTTATGTTAACTTTAATCAGTTAACAATCTCAATTAAACTTCAGCTGATTAAAAAACAACTTCCTAAAGGGGAGGGCTTCCTCATTCTAGAGAGCGTGTGATTGGACAGAAATCTGTGCAATGAAACATGAGTCATCTCTGTTTCCAACTTTCCATCCACCTATTTTTATGCGCATTTTAGAATATTGCATAAAAAAAATGCTGGATGGAAATACCAAGATGCACATAAATTGTAAAAATGCGCATTTAGTCGTATTTACCGAATACATTCATCGATGTGCATCAAAAAAGACGTGACTGATATTCCAATTTTGCGCATAAGTTAAAATTGCAACTTTGGATGTAAACATAGCTAATGTTTTGATGCACTAGCATATAGATGAGCTCAAAGCTATCGAATTAAAAGCCACATAACTATAATTTAGACTCTTCATGTCCAGTCTGTCATATACTACTAGATATGATTTTGAATGTTAGCGGAAGTGAATTCAGATATGAATAAATGTGTGATTTGTGCTATGCAGCGAAGGACAAGAGTGAAAGGAACTTCGCGATGGCGTTTGTGCGTCTGATGAAGGAAGACGGAACCGTTCTGAGAGATGGCATACATGAGCTCACCGTCTTTAAGGTCAGAAACACACACTTACAGAGGCTCACGGGGGACAAAAAGTGTTTGCATTAATCGGACATGGGGTTTGTGATGTTGCAAAGCTTTTTTATCTGCATTTATTTTTTATATAATTATTTTAGATAGGGTTAAACGATGCAGTAATGAGATTAAAAAATGTGAAGCCTCATTTAATAGTCTTTACAACTGATATGCAGAAGGTTTACCAATCATACACACATTCATATCTTAACCCTCTGGGGTCTGAGGTGTTTTCGGGGTCCTTGAGATGTTTTGGCATGCTCTGACATTTGTGCTTTTTTCAGTTGCTTATAAACATATTAATGGCACAGGTGAAATTACACTCTATATAGCACACACAGGGCTACCATAATATGTGAGCAACATGTATGTACATGTTTATATTTTTGAGAGAATATTGTTTATGCGTGGTTATTGAAAAAACTAAAAAATAAAGTTCATAATATAAGGCCACAAATAACATACTAAATATTTGTCCACAAGACTTTTGACTAGTGGATGTTGTCGCCTAGAGTTTTTGCTTCAAATTGATCTGAAAATCATTCTGCCTTATCATTCACATAAAACAATAGATTGTTTTAAATTGTGAAAAACATTTTTTTGTTTGCAAAGGCAATATGCGGATGGGCGGAACGGCCCAACCCCCTCATGAATAATTAGGCAGTTCTCACCTGAGCAGTCTGCATACTAATGAGCCTTTCATTCAGGGGTGTCACACAAGAAAGAATGCAAGGACAATATATATACACTACCTTTCAAAAGTTTGGGGTCAGTGAGAATTTTATTTTTATTTTTTGGAGGAAAGAAAACAATACTTTTATTTATCAAGGAATAATTAATTTGATCGAAAGTGACAGTAAAGACATTTATAATGTTACAAAAGTCTTTTGAACTTCCTATTCATCAAAGAATCCTAAAACAAACAAAAAAACTGTACAACTGACAGACCAACAACTGTTTCAACATTGATAATAATAATAAACGTTTCTTGAGCATCAAATCCTCATATTATACTGATTTGTGAAGGATCATTTGACACTGAAGACCCTGACACTGGTGATGCTGAAAATTCAGCTTTGATCACAGGAATAAATTACACTTTACTATATATTCACACAGAAAACAGCTGATTTACACTGGAGATAATATTTAATACTATAACTGATTTTTGTTGTATTTTTAATCAAATAAGCGCAGCCATGGTTAGCAGAAGAGAATTCTTTTAAAAGTATTTAAAATCGTACCGACCCCAAACTTTTGAACGGTAGTGTATATAAATAAATAAATGTTTATACACACACACACACACACACACACACATATATATATATATATATATATATACAAACAATCAAAATTTAAATGAAAGCCAAAAGCACATTTATAGTCACACCTTTTAGCCATCCACATACCATTTTTAGTCATCCACCGCGGTAAAAATAAACCAGTCGCATTGTAAAGTCGTTCGCGAAATGACCGCCAGGTGGCGCAAAGGGACATTTAGCAAAACGTAAGTGGGGCTAATGTCTATTAACAGTAGCCTAAGGATGAAATACTACAAGTTATGGTAATTTCCAAATAAGCCTACAACAAATTGTTGGTCATACAGATAAGATATAATCTTTTAAAACTTTAAAAGGCTAAAGTAGGCCTACACTCTCACAGGCTAAAGACAAAACGTTTTCTCGCTCATGTCAGAAACAGACGTTTGGGTATTTCTCAGTGAGAAAATTCATAGCTGAGCGGTAGAACTAACGGTTCATCATCAAGATGACACGGGTTCAAATCCCGCACAAACATGGTCTGCTGTATATTTTATATTTATTATTGCAAAGAGATTTGTCTAGCTCTAAAACTCTGTTACACCATACAGTTTTTTTTTTGTGCTTATATTTATAAAATACAATTATCATGCATTTCCATTTTACACTAAGTAAAAATACAAAAAAACAAAATAGTATCCAACAGAACGACTTTGCATCTGTATAATAATAGGCTACCAATCGTAATTTCAAAAGCAGTTCTGTAAAAAAATTAATTATATATGGCCTATATATATAGGCTATATATATATATTTTTTTTTATTCCAGGCTCTCATGCCACACCCCCGATTTCTCACGCTGAAGTGTCAACCCGGTCGGTCAAATTCCTGAAGGATATAGTTTATCTATAGATACCTGTTGAGCCACTCGTGATCGACTAGTTATTATAGGCCTACCGCAAATTAGTTAAAATATCCCGTAATCTATCTAGAGCGAGCGTGCATGCGAGACAGATATTGTGCTCCAAACCGTGCGCGCGCATGGCAGAGAGGTCTGTTCCCTAACCTAGAGTTTTTAAAAACATGGTTTTAAGTAAAGTGTGATTTGCCAGGGGGGATTGTGATTTCCTTCTGGTCTAAACATCCCTGCTTCTGCTGAATTATTTTAATCCCCACACCCCTCCCTCCACAGCTAATCAATGCTATAGGCTACTTCACCAATATCAAATATATAAAATAGAGATATGCAACAGGCACGTTTAAACGACAAACAATAAAATCAAAACCAGCGTTTCAGTTGTTCATTAGTTCCAGTGGCCTTAATGCATGCACGGCTTTTCAAATTTCACAAAGCGTGTTGAGATTATTTTGAATGAAATATTGAAGTTTATAATTAAGTGTTTTGGCACACCACGCCGAGTGGCCCTATGCATTTTTCTAAAGTCGGGTTTTATTCTGGCATGGTGAGTTAGTGTTCGACAAACACGGCGGCGCGTTCATTTAGATTAATTTATTTTTCTCATTATTACAGCTAAAATAACTTAGTAGGCGACTCCGTAATTTTTTGGTCATACAGATAAGAGTAGAGTAGCTTACATCGTTCAAAACTGTAAACTTGTATTCATATTAGGCTAACGACAAAAACAGTATAGGCTATCTGTCGTCTCTGTCTCCGGGAACTGCGCGTCACAAAAATGAACCGAAAGCCACTTCAGCTCAGTCACGATAAGAAATCGGCTATGTCTAAAGCCTTTAAATGTCTAAATATTTAGGCTAATAAATGTTATCTGATTATAGGCTAATCCATATGAAAACTAGAGGAACAGAGGATCTACTCAAACATGTAATGTAAGCGCTTCCCAATGAGAAAATGACAAGACAAGGGTGAAAATCTCGCTCTCATTAAATGTAGGCTAAATCGCCCTGAATTAAAATGTAAAAACAGATCAAATAATGTATTTGTCGAAATGTTGCGATATTGTTTCATTTAAGTTCATAATTGTTCTATAAATGTTATTTAATTTAGCAGCATTACCACGAAGCACCGTGTTTCGATATTTATTTGAATAATACAAAATCAAATAAAAACTTAATTCACAAATTGCATGCCTGGTTGTAAGGATCCAAAGATGTCATGACAACAAATTAACAAGCGTTTTTTCAGATTATATTTAGTTTTGCTTGGAAAAAGCTGCCCCAAACCAGTTTTATTTCATCAATTATTGAAATAATGAAATATTTAGTAATAAACTTTTATGACAGAAATATCAGGCTACATGTAATTCCATTTAATTCCTTCATTATCAACACTGTCTAGAATAGCGATTTAAGTGTGAATTGCGACTTCTCTTTGTGTTAAGTCAGCCTCAGACTCCGATAGCCTGTGGGGGGTTGGAGGGACAGTTGCTGGACAAAGGTGTTAATGTTCCTCTTTCATATGGAGAGTGTCGGATAGCCAGCCTGATGAGCAGGCAAAATTATTGTAAGGATAAATCTGTGTCCAAATGTAGGCCCCATATTTTATTAAATTATAAATATTGTAGTTTATTTATTGTAGCCTATTTAAAGTTTTTTTTTTCACACAAAATTTCAATTGAAGTTATTGTAAGGTGAATTCAACAAGGCATGCTGTGTCTTTGAAGCAACAATTAAAGGCTAAATAATTTTTTCGTGATTTGTATGGCTGACACGCAGCGACATATACAGTAGTATTATCAGAGCGAGGGAGACTAAATAAACTTGTTAAAAAGAGATCCAGCGCGAGAGAGGCAAAGAGAAACGCATGTTTTTAATTTAAATATGTTTCTTTGGACAATTTTCGTTTTGTACTGTTTTAATTGTTTAATTTAGCTGTAATTTCTTTGGCAATACGAATTTAAAATGTCGCAAGAATAAGATTAGCCTAGTGTTTCTTATTTTGCATCGCAAAAGAAATAAACTCTAAACCGATGCAACCCTGTTTTAAATAAAAAAATAACTGTCCCGACACTTTATTTAAACCTTGAAATGTTCGAACTTGGTTTCAAACATAAGTAATTTTTGTGTTCTTTTACATTAGGCTACACAATAATTTAGCAGACTAAAGACGAGCTTCTTCATTTTCATTTTCTGATGCAATCGGCTGACAATCTTCCTTCATCAGTTTTTGTCGTTTGTGCAGCGGCTGCGGTTCTACAGGAATGTAGCAAATTTATGTTGTAATGATAATTAAACAAAACTCTTGACTTTAAATAAGTAAACAGTTATAAACAGTTACCTATTTAAGCATCAAGGTGGTAAAATATAAACGCTGTAGGACAACATCGGTTAACAACATGTATGCTACATTGAGATTCGATCTTGGGTCGATTGAAGTTCCTCGAAGCTCGTGTTGTTGCGTTAACCACTGAGCTACCGTCTGTACGCTGTTAAAGTTGTAAGCCTCATTGATGTAGCCTAAATGTTTTTATTGCAATGTTTTATGTTGAAATGTTTTCATTATTTATTCAATTACATTTCAGTAGCCTAATTTCAGTATTGTGATTATGAATTATTTTAACTACATTTCACTTGTTGAATTCTTCTGCTACCAGCTTTCAATCGCTCTGAATCAGCGCGGTGCGGCAGCAGATTACACATTAGAGAGAATAAACCGGAATAAACGAACACTTTTCAGAGTCTATGATTGTAGCGCCTCTTAGCGGTAAAAGGCAGCAAATACACCACACATTTTACCGCCGCGGTGGAACGGCTGATGTGGGCATTGTCATGGCTTGCCTCGACATTTGCGTTTGAATAGCGCGCGTCCTCCGTGGGCGTGTCAGATTAACGCGTAATGAAGTGTAATGAGCTGGGGGAAAAAAATACTGACAGCACTCTCTTTTCAGATTGCATAAACTGAGAATATTTGTTTTTTATATAATTTACTTCATTTAAAAGAAGAGAATTTAAGCTTCATAAAGAAAAACCTCTCGTGCCTGTGTGACAAGTAATCGCGGAGTTACAGTTAATCTTAGGACGCGTTTCAGAATGGACTTCACTGACAGAGAGAACGCAGAACTCGCATCATGTTTGTTTTTCTTTATTTGGTGAAAAGCACAACACTTTGTTTTTATTATGAGTATCCACAAAAAAAATAGAAACTTAACAGGATCTAATGATGTACAACACTTATATGTAAGATCAAAATTAACCGAGTATTTTGAGTCTCTTTTACACTGATAAGAAAAAAAGCGAGACAATCGCGCCGGCGCGATAGGCGACCCCAGGGGGTTAAAGGGATAGTTCACCCAAAAATTACAATTCTGTCAGTAATTACTCGCCCTCATGTTGTTCAACCCTGTAAGACTTTCGTTCATCTTCGGGACACAAATTAAGATATTTTTGATTAAATCTGAGAGCTGGATCACTCCTCCATAGGCTTCTTAAGGGATTGAAACTGGCCGGCCCAAAAAAAGTTAAAGACATCGTTAAAATAGTCCGAGTGACGACAGCGGCTCAACCTTAAGTTTATCAAGCGACGAGAATACTTTTTGTGCGCAAAAAACGAACAAAAATAACGACTTTATTCAACTCTTCATTTCCTTCTCTGTGGGCCTCGAGTGAGTTCATGAGAGCAACACACACACACACACACACAGTGGGCCTCTGAGTGAGTTCACGAGCGCCGCGACGCATGCGCGAGAACTGAGAAGAGGACACTCATGATCATTTGATGGGAAAGTGTGTGTGTGTGTTGCTCTTGTGAACTCACTCAGAGGCCCACTGTGTCTGTGTGTGTGTGTTGCTCTTGTGAACTCGCTCTGAGACCCACTGTGTGTGTGTGTGTGTGTGTGTTGCTCTTGTGAACTCACTCAGAGACCCACTGTGTGTGTGTGTGTGTGTGTGTGTTGCTCTTGTGAACTCACTCAGAGACCCACTGTGTGTGTGTGTGTGTGTTGCTCTTGTGAACTCACTCAGGCCCACTGTGTGTGTGTGTGTGTTGCTCTTGTGAACTCACTCAGAGGCCCACTGTGTCTGTGTGTGTGTGTTGCTCTTGTGAACTCGCTCAGAGACCCACTGTGTGTGTGTGTGTGTGTGTGTGTGTGTGTGTGTGTGTTGCTCTTGTGAACTCACTCAGAGACCCACTGTGTGTGTGTGTGTGTGTTGCTCTTGTGAACTCACTCAGGCCCACTGTGTGTGTGTGTGTATTGCTCTTGTGAACTCACTCAGAGGCCCACTGTGTGTGTGTGTGTGTGTGTGTGTGTTGCTCTTGTGAACTCACTCAGAGACCCACTGTGTGTGTGTGTGTGTGTGTGTGTTGCTCTTGTGAACTCACTCAGAGACCCACTGTGTGTGTGTGTGTGTGTGTGTGTGTGTTGCTCTTGTGAACTCACTCAGAGACCCACTGTGTGTGTGTGTGTGTGTTGCTCTTGTGAACTCACTCAGAGGCCCACACGGAAGAAAATCAATAGTTGAATAAAGTCGAAGTTATTTTTGTTTGTTTTTTGCGCACAAAAAGTATTCTCGTCGCTTGATAAACTTAAGATTGAGCCGCTGTCGTCACTCGGACTATTTTAACAATGTCTTTAACTAACTTTTCTGGGCCGACAGATCCAATTACCTAACAGTCTATGGAGGAGTGATCCAGCTCTCAGATTTAATCAAAAATATCTTAATTTGTTTTTCCGAAGATGAACGAAAGTCTTACGGGGTTGGAACAAGTAATTACTGACAGAATTATCATTTTTGGGTGAACTATCCCTTTAATGTGTTTCTTGATTTAAGAATGTTCAGTTATTTTTGTAGTTATAGTGTAGACTTTACTTTACAAATGAATAAAAATTTGTCTCATTGTTATGGAGGCCCAAACCTGCAGAAAATAATAAATAAATAATATACTATAATATAATATAATAGTAGAGAAATAAATAAAGCGATAAATAACTTGATAGAATAATATAACAAATTTTTAATTTAATTTAATCCAGATTTCTTTTTTTTTTTATTTCTTTTTTCCATCATTTATTATTAATTAAACAATCCAGGGCCGTGTTTTCTGTTAAGTAGATCGTATAGACCTTTGGTGCATTCGGTTTATGATCAACTTAACAAGATTTCTCTGTAATTACAAAATAAACAGGCATTATACCAGAAACCATATACCGTCCACTGGGTGTCTGGGTGCTTATTTTTAATTTCTGCAGGTTTTGGCCTCCATAGATAATATGGTGGATGGCAGTTAAGCTAATCACTTAATTCACATGTTAACAAACAAACATGGCCTTGCTGCGTCTCTCCTCTGTGTGTCTGTAGGGTGACAGTAAGCGTATGGAGGAGGTGAGCTCGTACCTGTCCCTGCCGTCGGAGCGCAGTAACCCTGACAGCCACAAGGGGGCGACGCTGATGCGCAGCTCCAGTAGTGTGGGCGGCCTGTCGTTCAGCTCCAGAGACATCTTCACCATTGCAACACTCGTCTGCTCCACCAAACTCACGCAGAACGGTGTGTGTGTGTGTGTGTGTGTGTGTGTGTTTCTACCCCAGTGGAGACTTAAACCTGAATGCACACAGACTCATGGGGACTCGTGTCACTGTAGACCTAAATTGAGGAACACAAGCTTATAAATCATACAGAATTTTTTTTTTTTTTTTTAAATGTAAAAACGCAGAAAGTTGTGTGTGATGGGTAGGTTTAGGGGTCGGGTTAGTGTGTGTGTGTGTGTGATGGGTAGGTTTAGGGGTCGGGTTAGTGTGTGTGTGTGTGTGATGGGTAGGTTTAGGGGTCGGGTTAGTGTGTGTGTGTGTGTGCGTGTGTGTGTGTGATCGGTAGGTTTAGGGGTCGGGTTAGTGTGTGTGTGTGTGTGTGTGATCGGTAGGTTTAGGGCTCGGGTTAGTGTGTGTGTGTGTGTGTGTGTGATGGGTAGGTTTAGGGGTCGGGTTAGTGTGTGTGTGTGTGTGATGGGTAGGTTTAGGGGTCGGGTTAGTGTGTGTGTGTGTGTGTGTGTGTGTGTGTGTGTGATCGGTAGGTTTAGGGGTCGAGTTAGTGTGTGTGTGTGTGTATGTGTGTGAGTAGGTTTAGGGGTCGGGTTAGTGTGTGTATGTGTGTGATGGGTAGGTTTAGGGGTCGGGTTAGTGTGTGTGTGTAATGGGTAGGTTTAGGAGTTTGGTTAGTGTGTGTGTGTGATGGGTAGGTTTAGGAGTTTGGTTAGTGTGTGTGTGTGATGGGTAGGTTTAGGGGTCGGGTTAGTGTGTGTGTGTGTGTGTGTGTGTGTGTGTGATGGGTAGGTTTAGGAGTTTGGTTAGTGTGTGTGTGTGTTGGGTAGGTTTAGGGGTCGGGTTAGTGTGTGTGTGTGATGGGTTGGTTTAGGGATCGGGTTAGTGTGTGTGTGTGATGGATAGGTTTAGGGGTCAGGTTAGTGTGTGTGTGTGTGTGTGTGTGTGTGTGTGTGTGTGTGATGGGTAAGTTTAGGGGTCGGGTCAGTGTGTGTGTGTGTGTGTGTGTGATGGCTAGGTTTAGGGGTCGGGTTAGTGTGTGTGTGTGTGTGTGTGATGGCTAGGTTTAGGGATCGGGTTGGTGTGTGTGTGATGGGTAGGTTTAGGGATCGGGTTGGTGTGTGTGATGGGTAGGTTTAGGGGTCGGGTTAGTGTGTGTATGTGTGTGTGTGTGATGGCTAGGTTTAGGGATCGGGTTGGTATGTGTGTGATGGGTAGGTTTAGGGGTCGGGTTAGTGTGTGAGTGTGTGTGTGTGTGTGATGGCTAGGTTTAGGGATCGGGTTGGTGTGTGTGTGTGTGTGTGTGTGTGTGTGTGTGTGTGTGTGTGTGTGTGTGTGTGATGGGTAGGTTTAGGGGTCGGGTTAGTGTGTGTATGTGTGTGTGTGATGGCTAGGTTTAGGGATCGGGTGTGTGTGTGTGTGTGTGTGTGTGTGTGTGTGTGTGTGTGTGTGTGTGTGTGTGTGTGATGGGTAGGTTTAGGGGTCGGGTTAGTGTGTGTGTGTGTGTGTGTGTGTGTGATGGCTAGGTTTAGGGATCGGGTTGGTGTGTGTGTGTGTGTGTGTGTGTGTGTGTGTGTGTGTGTGTGTGTGTGTGATGGGTAGGTTTAGGGGTCGGGTTAGTGTGTGTGTGTGATGGGTAGGTTTAGGGGTCGGGTTAGTGTGTGTATGTGTGTGTGTGATGGCTAGGTTTAGGGATCGGGTTGGTGTGTGTGTGTGTGTGTGTGTGTGTGTGTGTGTGTGTGATGGGTAGGTTTAGGGGTCGGGTTAGTGTGTGTGTGTGTGATGGGTAGGTTTAGGTTTAGGTTTAAGGGGAGAGAATATACTGTTTGGACAGTATAAAATCCATCAAGTCTATGGAGAGTCCCCACAAAGATATCGAACCAGACGTGTGTGTGTGTGTGTGTGTGTGTGTTGGGGGGATGGGGAAAAGTAGCTTTTATATCCTGAATGAAACGACATTCACAGTCCATTTCACTTCTGTAATGTAATGAATTTCCAAGTGAAAAAAAAGATATTCAGGGAGGAAAAACATGTAGGGCAGGATTTTATTCATCAGGTTGTGAAAAGTGTTTCTACATGACAGGAAGTTGAAAAATAAGAGGTCTCGATATGACATTGGTTGAAAAGGAAAGTCATTTCAAAGCAGGTTATTACACTGTGATGGAAGATGACCAGACAAACAACGTTTTACAATAACATGCACTGATTCACAAAAAGACCAGGAATGTCTTATTGTTAAGAAAGAAAGTAAATACAGTCAATTTAAAAATGTATATACAAACCATGCAAAGCCTGACATATACAATAATAGTCAGAATTTTTTATTTTTTTTGTAATGGAACAGTTTATTGAGCCTACAGGCAAAATCTAAAAGAAATATTTTGCATATGTTTTTTTTTGTTTAGTATCATATTTGATGCATCAGGCTTTTATGGCTCATATGATATAGTGAGAATATGGAGCTCAAACTCGAGGAGGAAAAACAGATCAGTTTTATTCAGAGGCAAAAATATGCAATTTAGTGCAGATGCTGATATTTATATGGACCAAAAAAATCTGATCAAATTCTGATGAGACTTAATAACAGTATAGCAGACTACTTACATTACATGCATATAAATATCAGTCATCATATCTACCGATAATATGTCTTAGTAAGATGAAATTTGAAATGCTTATTTTTATGATTAAAGCTTTGTAAAGTTTAAAGTATAAATTAACATATAATTATAAAACATAATGCAATACAATGATGATTGAGAGATAACAAATAAACCTGATGATCATATTTAATACTCACATTTTAACATGAATTTACTATAAAATGACGTATGGATAATCAAGTAAACCTACAGTAAGTGTTCATCTTGAAATATTAACAACATCAAAGTTCTTCTTATATTTACTTTGTTTAAAAATCAGTGCAGATTTCACAGCAGAGACACGTAAAGCACGAGCTGAAGGAGGACGTTTGTACAATTACACTAAAAGACTTTTACTTGCTAAAGTTGTTGAATATTGTTGAATGACTTTTATCTTGAAGCCCCTTTAAGGACACGGACACACACACACACACACACACACACACACACACACACACACTGTTGAATGACTTCTATCCTGAGGCCCCTTTAAGGACATGGACACACACACACACACACACACACACACGTTCACACACACTGTTGAATAACTTTTATCTTGAGGCCCCTTTAAGGACACACACACACACACACACATTGTTAAATGACTTTTGTCTTGAGGCCCCTTTAAGGACACGGACACACACACACACACACACACACACACACACACACACACACACACACACACAGACGCAGGTGTGCTGTAACAGCTGTTCTTGAGAAAGCCCGTTAATCACGCTAATGAATCTTCCGGAAACATCCATCACAATGCAACCCTAACGAACGAACACACACGGACATATTCACTGCTAAACACATGAACTAAACAGATTCATTAATGCCTCGTAATTAAGAGTCAGTTGCGGTTACACTGTCTCTGTTTCTCAGTGGGTTTGTTGGGTCTGCTGAAGTGGAGGACTCGTCCTGAAATGCTGAAGCAAAACCTACAAGAGCTCAAACTCATTGATGGAGAGGAGGTTGTGAAGGTGTGTTGCACTCAAATTACACATGAGCATCTGTAGCTTGGTATGCACATTAGTTTACGCGTGTGTGTGTGTGTGTGTGCAGTTCCTGCAGGACACTTTGGACGCCCTGTTCAACATCATGATGGAACATTCTCAGACTGATGACTATGATATTTTGGTGTTTGACGCTCTGGTAAGCAGCATCCAAACACACACACACACAACACACACACACACACACACACACACACACACACACACACACACTCACACACACACACACACACACACACACACACACACACACACACACACACACACACACACACACACACACACACACACACACACACACACACACAGACTCACTCACTCACTCACTCACTCACTCACTCACTCACTCACTCACTCACTCACTCACTCACTCACTCACCATCACTCACTCACCCACCCACCCACTCACTCACTCACTCACTCACTCACTCACTCACTCACTCACTCACTCACTCACCTCACTCACTCACTCACTCTCTCACCCACCCACCCACCCACCCACTCACTCACTCACTCACTCACATCACTCACTCACTCACCCACCCACCCACCCACCCACTCACTCACTCACTCACCCACCCACCCACCCACCCCACTCACTCACTCACTCACTCACCCCACCCACCACTCACTCACTCACTCACACTCACTCACTCACTCACTCACTCACTCACTCACTCACCCACCCACCCACCCACCCACCCACTCAGTCACTCACCCACCCACCCACCCACTCACTCACTCACTCACCCACCCACCCACTCACTCACTCACCACCCACTCACTCACTCACTCACTCACTCACTCACCCTCCCACCCACCCACCCACTCACTCACTCACTCACCCACCCACCCACCCACTCACTCACTCACTCACTCACCCACCCACCCACTCACTCACTCACTCACTCACCCTCCCACCCACCCACTCACTCACTCACTCACTCACCCACCCACCCACCCACTCACTCACTCACTCACTCACCCACCCACCCACCCACTCACTCACTCACTCACTCACCCACCCACCCACTCACTCACTCACTCACTCACTCACTCACTCACTCACTCACTCACTCACTCACCCACCCACCCACCCACCCACCCACCCACTCACTTCACTCACCCACCCACCCACCCACTCACTCACTCACTCACCCACCCACCCACTCACTCACTCACCCACCCACCCACCCACCCACCCACTCACTCACTCACTCACCCACCCACCCACCCACCCACCCACTCACTCACCCACTCACCCACCCACCCACCCACCCACCCACCCACTCACTCACCCACCCACCCACTCACTCACTCACTCACTCACATCACCCACCCACCCACTCACTCACTCACTCACTCACCCACCCACCCACCCACCCACCCACCCACCCACCCACTCACTCACTCACTCACTCACTCACTCACTCAC